ATTGGGAGATACACCTCCACAGGTGAGATTGACAAAGATTGGGATTCTGACGTTTCACTCCTTTCGATTTGTTATGATACAATTGACATAGTGACTTTATTGTATTGCTTCGTGTTTAGCTTCTTCTTCTATCCTTATGTTAGCAGATCCTGTTTACTAGATGTCCATGTTAAACTGCTATCAAATCAGACTTAACCCCAATTCAATTTCGCTAGTCCGCAACCTCCCTGGACTTGATTTACAGCTGAATCGCATGTTTTCCTTTATTCGCCACTTGGTCAGATCTGTTTCCTCATAAAGAGAAACAAAAGGAACCAATAATTAGTAGCTTCTTGTTACTAGGAGCGATGCCAGGAGCCCCGATCGTAGTGTCCTTGCTCCGTTCGTAGCGATGCTGGCGAGAAAGACAAGACTGGAAAGAAACATAAGACCTGCTTGGTGCATTGCGCTAGAACGATGGTCAATGCTGGCTAGGAATTGCCAGCGCAGCAGGGCTTGTCGCTACCACCGAGACTTCAGCTCCTAAAGCGGATCATTCAGGTGGGTTTCTGCCTTTGTTTGAAGCACTCCAGCTAGGGCAGTATTTATTTGTTGGGTGGATCCATAGATGGTTCCACCCATCACCCCCTGATCAGCTTGCTTTCCTTGGAAGGCCTTAGTGTCAGAGGGCAGGTTTGAAGTGCACCGGCCCTAGAGCATAGCATACATGCGATTACATGCGCATTGAAGTTCTTAGTAGATTGGAGGCAATCGCTAGTAGGTTGGAGGCCATCTCTATTAGGAGCAAGGACGCTACTAGGAGCTCCTGGCCTTACTACTAGGAACAAGAGACTACTAGGGGCTCCTGGCATCGCTACTAGGAGCAAGAAAGTGGGTTAGTGGGTTGGAGGCCATCTCTATTAGGAGCAAGGACGCTACTTGGGGCTCCTGGCCTTACTACTAGGAACAAGAAGCTACTAGGGGCTCCTGGCATCGCTACGAACGGAGCAAGGAAGTGGGTTAGTGGGTTGGAGGCCATCTCTATTAGGAGCAAGGACGCTACTTGGGGCTCCTGGCCTCACTACTAGGAACAAGAAGCTACTAGGGGCTCCTGGCATCGCTACTAGGAGCAAGGAAGTGGGTTAGTGGGTTGGAGGCCATCTCTATTGAAGTTCTCTTGCATCTTTCGTTTGCCCTTTCCATCTTCCGAGTCCCTCCGCACGTGTAAGGAGATCCGCATCGTTCTGTCGCAATGCAGAGACTGCTTTAATCCCAGGTGCAATCACAGCTTCGCAGACCTCTTGCGAAGGCTCGGGCTGCTCGAAGTGGGCGTGGAATCTGAGGTACTGTGACGGCCTTTTGTGATAAGTTTTCCAACAGACCTTTGCTTCTGACAGGCTTTGTGAGCATGCAGTTCAGCAAGGTCAGCGCGAAGCAGCACGCAGCAAAGTGTGCCCTGTCTGAGAGACTTGCCAAAGATGTCAGAGCTGTCTTTGCTCCTTTTTTCTCTATTAGATTGGAGGCCATCGCTCTTAGGTCTCTTTGCCCTCTTTCCGGTTTCAAAAGGTTCGGCTTTCACACTTCAGGTCCTTCACAATGAAGCCACAGGTCTGGGCCTCGGAATGACCTCGAAGCCCATGTGTTCAGACTTTGTTGGCAGAGTGAAAAGCGATATTATGTCAAAAATGAGAAACATATACCCCCTCGGACAGAAGCCAAGCAGGTCGCCCCTTGAGAAAAGCACCTGTCTTCCAGGCCAATTTTTTCCACGCCCAGGTTGGTTTCAGGGAGCGTAGGAGGTGTTTGGGCCCTTGAATAAGGCCCCCGTGAAAGAGGCCTTAGGCACTTGTTACTAGAAGCGATGCACTTGTTACTAGTAGCTTCTTGTTACTACTAGTAAGGCA